TATAAACTTGATGGCCTTTGCTGTTCTGATTGAGAATATATGTGGGTACTATTTCGTTGGTGTGATAAATATTTTATGTGAGCGGATATACCCTCAGACAATAGTGATATTTGTATATATAAACAATGAATCCTATACATATAGAAATGATTAACTTAGATTTCAAGTAATGTTATTGATCTTTACTTTGAAGTCGTATACTGCATGTATAAACAAATAACTAGTGTGATTATTACACAAAATAAATCGTTAACATTGTATTATGTCACAACGAGAATAATCGTTGCTGTTACATTTTACAGGATAAAAATTGCAATTCAACCTGTGTTTAATACTATATATAAATAAGTTACTTTGTCGAGTGCAAACAACGCAATCCGCTTTTTATGAATTCACACTATGACTAGTAGAAACTTGTAAAGGCTGAAAGAGTCGTTATTTTAGTATAGTTAATTGTAGTATTGACAACTTGGCATGAGTCATATGCTATATTTTTCATTAAAATAGAAAGAATATTAGCATGGTAATCAACATATATCTGACTGTATTGGACCCGATCACACTGGTAGGTGAAAACTAAATGACGGTGTACAGACTTTCATTTTAAGACTTCCCTATCGAACAAATCCACAAAGCTAACAGCTACATTTTATTGAATAATACGCCAGTAGCAGTAGGTAAGTCCCTATATTATAATTGTGTACAGGAAAGTCAAACACAAAGAGGTAAAGGGAAGAAGTAACATCAAAGTTACTGTAACTAGTTAGTTGGCAGCACACAGTTGATAACCGGAACCAATTTGTCTTAGAGACGACAGATAGATAAACAGATGATTACGTTGAGGATTGATAAAGGCTAATGTTGGTTGAAAAGTGTGGCAGTGAAAATTGTTTCTAGATACCTGAGATACGAATCAAGCCGAAAGAATCAACTACTGTCATCCCTTTCTGCTAATAGCATTTGTGATACCTGCTATGGATGAAATTGATTTCGAAATCAGTTGAATCTTTCACAGCCTGGAATACAAAATGATAAGTCTCTATGTGAAAAAAATCAAAACTCTATAGTGATCAAGAGACGGACACTCCACTATTAATAGACAAGTAGGTATCATACCAAAAGTTAACTTCATATTTTGTAGGTCACGTGTAACGGAATTAAATCGCAAATAATATACACTTCCGGATTGATGCCTCTTGCGAACAGAGTCTTTTCTCCTAATCATCATCATCATTGTAACTGTCGCCTTGATATTTACGTGCTCTTTAGATGTGGTTTAGGCGAATTAGTCTTTTTTACAACAACAAAAAACGATGCATGCAGAGATTAACTAACTAGTGAACTGAATAGAAGATAAATTATATCGAATTATATATGCTGAATAGAATTATGAGATATAGGTGTGCACATACATGTACACAAGGCGATGTGTGTGTGCGTGTGTGTTGAGTGTATACGTATATATGAATAAGTTAACAGCTGGTCATATATACGTTACAGTTAATCGACTTGAAAAATTACTGCTAGACGAAGTGAAAATCAAATAGCTTGCTACAAGCTATAATCATAATAACATTCATGATAAATAAAATAATAATACACAAAATATTCCGTCTATAAAATCATAACCAGTTACTGGACAGGATTATATAAATATATGTATACATATTTGCTTGCATTAAATGTAATGAAATAGTATGGAGAAGAAAGAAAAATTTGATTCTGTATAATATTTACTTAAAATATACAATAAAGCCCTGCTAGTGATATTTCGCTTGCTAATTCGCCGACATAACACAGAGACTGATATCAAACGTTCGCTTGTCTTTATTCATAATTGGATAATTGACCAGAGAAAATTATTGTGCGTTAACATGTGTATGTACATATTTTCGTACAACCTATTTTAGGGAGGTCAGCATAGTCACCTCATTCAATAGCGCTTTCCCTATTTTTATCATTTAAAACACTCGGGATTTGGTTAAAAACCGAATTGCAACTAATTAGGCGAGAATAAATGGTCAAAGTGACTCTAGACCCACTCCAATTTCAGTAAATACAATTGTACATCCAGACAATGATTTACCACACCCATAAACAATCTGGTACGGCTGAGGGTTGGTAGACTTCGGTCTTCCTATCGAAACGCCCTCATGTGGCCACGCGTTCATAGCCTCTAAAAGGTAAGTCCCTGCCTTCATGAGGCTAGGGTGTTCCTCAAAAAAGTGAACGTTTGGCACTTACAACCAGACTGGCGGATATGCTGGTCTACTTAGGGGAGTCGGAAAACCCTGATTCCAACCTTATGATGCACATGAGCTTAAGTAAGCAAATAGATCAAGTAGTGTATGAACCTATTTTGTTCACCATCAGAATGTGGCTCCCGACGCTGTTCCACTGCCTTGTGGATCATACTTCAAGTCAAAGGCTAGGGTTGTAGCTTCTCAAGACAACTACCTGCTTCTGTCTGGGTGTCTGGGCAGTATCCCAGCCATAGCACAAACTATGAGATTCGCTGTGGTGCATCCCTTGGTGCCCATAGTGAACCAGACTTGTATTTTTAATAAACATCCAGAAAAAGTACTAAACTTTTTCAGCAACCATATGAACCTTTATACCTCTGGTGATGAATCGCATTTATATTGAGGCAGCAGATAATAATGAATAGTTATTCAAGCCTGGTCAGTTGGAATCGGGGAGGAACCACCAACTCATCGATAAGCCAATATTATTGAAGACCTATTTAGTGTTTATGCATGGTTAATGCAGTATTCATAAAAGTCTTAAGGAAGGATGGTGAATGCAAAATAAGTGATATAAGAGATATCTACTTGACACAAGTTAGAATTTATGAGAGATCAGTTACCAATACACTGGCTGAAAGTGAGATCTGGACATTCTGGGTTCAAGATATCTGAGTGATTTACCCAGCTATAATCTGCTCAGCAGTTCGCTTTGTCCTTCTGTATGGCTGTGAAACACTGCTGTTGAAGTTGGAAGACTTGGCAAGACTATCAGTCTCCTAGTATAACTGCCTGTATTTTATGTCCCGTGTCAAGTGAAATAATATGGTGAGTAATATTGAAGTTTGGGTAAGAGGGAAAGTCAATTGATGAGGTGATGAAACTGTATCGATTGAGGTAGCTACGAAACGTGTTACGCATCTCAAGCCATTGATTTTTTATTGTAGACGAACGTTAAGTCGCTTTAGATTAAGATGGAAAAGAATAAAGAGTTATCATATCAAAACGTGGGATCAATCCATAAAGTCTTAGACTGTTGGTTTGATTCATGTAGGGGTTAGCTGGGGTGGTCGAAACGCTAAGAAACAATAGTTGGAGACTGTTGGTAACATGGCTGAAATGCTTTCATAATAGTACAGCTGCACCCACGCTTTATCAACTCTTACATTCATCAACTTCTTATTGTTCTCCATGCAATTATTCTTTCTCCCATATATTTTTACTGATCTTAGTTCTTTTGAATTTCTTCTCTGCTTACGTAAGCTATCTGGAATGTGTTGACTTGAAATGTTGCACCTTTGTGCAAGGTTCTACGTTGAAAACTCATTCAGCCCAGGCAGTCAAGTCCTACATCAGCCTGGTAAACTGCTGGAGAGTATCACACCAGTCCTCACACGATAAATGTGCTTCATGCTGGTGCATGAAAAATCTGTTCCAAATGATTGAATTCACGCAAATAATGAATCGCCGCAAATGTAACAATTAGAATAATGTAATGAATACTAGTCATGTTCGAAATTCAATTACAAAAACATCTGTACTGAATTTCTCTGTGTGGTCAGGACACTATTTACTGACTTCCCGTATCCATAGTATACTGCCAAAGCAACTTACACTATCACACTAAATTCCAGTAAATTCGTTTATTCATGCCATGTTTATAATAGACTTACTTACTTTACTTCGGCTATCTCCTACGGGAGGATGAGCCGGCTTCATGAACATCCCGAATCATCGCTGCCCAGGCGCGGCGATCTGATGAAGAGAGTTCATGAAGTTTCATGGGAATTTGGTACGAGTGATGTCTCCAGAATCGCTCGGCCTTTTGTTTGAGAGTGCAGCTCTAGCCTTTACACAACCGAGTGTGACCTACAAGGCAGTAGGAGTGGAGTAGGGAGTCCACTATTCATTGGCAGCCGGTGACCGGAGTTCGGTTCATACGCCTTTTTGAATGAGGCCAGACATCCAGGACATCCAACAAGCCCTTTGTCCATACGTCTGCCAGTAAGCTCCAGTGAGTTTCATACGCCAGTCGTTGGAGGTTTGGAATCAGGGTTTAGCCATCTCCCCTAGACTGTCATCCAATGGACAGTCAACCCGGTGAAGAGCGCCGGGCATCCGCTTTCGCCCTCTCACTTTGGTGAAAAACACCTCCGCCACGTGAAGGCAGTGAGTAGGACTTCCTCAGGAGGGGCTATGTAAGACGCCCGGTCATATGGGAGCATTTCAAGAGGTGTGCGGAGGGGTGGCCAACCCGCAGTGCAAGGCACCCACCCCCGACCATCCTGAGGCTTTGGAGGCTGTTTATAATATCAGGAGACATCTAGTCTTTTCCCACAGAAATCTAGTTCAGTGAACGGTACACTTTTAGCAGTGAATTGTCTCAGCATACAGAATACATGTACAAAAGACTTTACACCTTCATGTTTTAACGTCTACTACTTTCACTAGTCATATTGCATAATCACAAATTGGCACAGAGACAACTGTTGCATGTCAATAATGCCCTCTGTTAAAGAGTCGGATACGCACACATAAATCAAAGCCAATAACTAAACTACAAGTATTCACTTTTTATTTACAGTGTTTATCTTTATTTGGTCTAGAGAAAAATAATTTAATACTACTCTGTTTTTATTTCAACATTTTAGTATTAGTCAGACAGTGCTGATATAATCCATAACGAGAAGAAAGACAATGTTAGTAAAAAAAAAACATTTATCATATAATAATAGTAGTAGCAATAAGCCAACTTACTTCTACTCCAATATAATTTAAACGATTCAAATAATACCGTGTATTTTCGCTCTACATAACAGGAATGAATAAAGGAGACTGAATGATACGGAGGTAAAGAATGCATATATATATGTAAACATTAAAATAAATGAACAGATAAACAAACGACATGTTAAAAATTTAAACACCACCAACATTATTAACATCACTGGTGAAAATTAAAAATATATGGAATAACAATTTTGTCTTACAGTGACACACTAAATACTGTGCACACCTGAAATATATTTGCATACCCATGTACACCATACATTTATGCAGCACAAAATATGAAGAAATATTCAGTTAAATTGCTCTAGACATGACGGCAAGAAGACCAGCCTCGTTTTAGAAACTGTGTAAGCCAATATATATATATATGTATATATATATATATATGTATATATATATATATATATGTCCTACGATGTATTACAGTAGTACCTAATTCCGAAAATCAATAAGTCTAATTTGAGGGAAAACATGCAATAGCACTAATCAGTTTCTACTAAGGCTTAAATAAACTGCACAGACAATGTGAACTGCAAGCTGAATAACATGATGTCACTAAGATTTTTTAAAAGTAGTGAATATTTTGATTTCTCAACAATTTGTTGTTTTTTTTTTTTGATAACTATTTCTATGCAAATATGAAGACATATGCATATAGTGCAAGACGACTGAATCTATTAGAGGTGAGAGAATACAGCAACATATCATGAGTGTTGATGGAAATCATTTAAAGTGTATGGATCTAGACAGATTGTAAATAAAATAATCTACTAAACATATGTGAAGCTTTACAGACACAATGAGGAAGTTGAATAAAGAAAAAGCAGAAGTTTTAGATGAACACATATAAAAAAGAAAGGATAAGTAGAGATGATAAATAAAAGTGTTACTAGTAAAGTAAGAGCTACGAAAAGTTGTAAGATGAAAGGTAAAACAAAAGTGTAACTAGAAATAGGCGATTGAGGGCTTTAACATATTGGTTAATGAATATCAAGTTGAACACAATGGATCCATATAATCAATACTGAAAATTTATAGTGAGGCCTATCTACTTTCGTTTAATTTATACAGAGTTCTAGAAGATACTGCAGAATATCAGGGTCAACTAATTTTTATTCGACAACGAAAAGAAGAATCAAATTCATTTAGTGCACAAGTGTATAGATTACCTCAATAGTAAGTTTGATCACGAGCTGAATTCATTTAGAGAACTGATGAAAACCAGAGAGCTGCTCCATCCTCGTTTAGGACTCTCTAGCAGTATGCACTCAATACCGAACCACGGATAGAGCCAAGGAACCTCAGGTTACAAAGTGAGTTCGTTGACCATACAACCACTAGGATGAATTCCAATGGTTTATGAATGCAGACCACTGATGAGGTCCAAAGTGGGACGAAACAGGCGTCCAGTACTCCCTGGTTATCAGTGTTTCCCTAAATGAAGTCATTTCATGGTTAAACTTGAAATCAATCAACCCTTGTGTATATCCCAGAATATCCAGAATGTTTCTTCGCTATTCAAAAACACTGAAATGATTGAGTCCAATTTACAGTTCTCACACATTTTTTGTAGTGATTTATTGGATGAATTTATAACAGTTCCCTACAAACGGAACCTTTTTTTATTAAGCTACAACATATTTAAGTGTAATAAACTTTATGATGCTAATTAGCAGATTAAGTAGAAAGCTACCCCTAGATCGACCAATGAGCTGTATTCATGCAAGTAGACTTTCAAACAACCACATAAAAAGTTCACTAGGGATTGTAAATTATATATATATAAGCTTAATAACAAGCATACTTTTCTTTTACATTCCCCGTATATTCACGCGAACATCATGTTGTTTCAGTTAACAGTATGAACGAAAATGGTAAAGTTGACGAGTAAACTCCTATAATGTAAACATGTTCTTATCACTAATTCCAAATTTGATAGGAAACATCACGTTTATGGAGGAAAGGTGTCAGGAAAACCAGTACTGAATAAAAACATGTGAAACGTGACTAACTCCAAAATAAGTGGAGATAGTTCAAACCCTACAGTCAGTAGACGGCATATTGGTCAGCTTGCTCAAGAGAATTTAAATTGTCTCACAAACTCTACAAATACTTCACTAAAATCTCTAAATGTAAGAAAAGTTTTCAAAAAATAAAACTATGTTCACTGTAAAATAAGGTTTCATGAAACACTAAAATTCATCAAAGTAGTTTTAAAATGGCAACCAAAAGATACTATAAATAAAGCTTCATTTGTACTAATCCATCATGCAAAAAGTCAGACTGAAAGACAGCGACTGACAAGAGAAACCAAATTCTTGAGGATAAACTGTCATAGGATTCAAGTGCTTAAAATAGATTCATTAAAACAAAGTAAGCCATCATATCTAATTGATAGTTGAGTCAGCATTGTTCACATCACAGTGATATCTTCAAAAGAGAATTATATGATCCTAAGAAGTTTTACAGAGTAAAGTAGTTTCCAGTCATCGTTATCACTTTCAGAAAAGAGGAAAACCTTTAAGATAAGTAGAAAGGCAGGTGTGTTACAAATAATTCAACTTACAAAATTCTCTGTGATTATTTTTGAACGTTGATCGAAAGCTGTCTGTATACTGGGATCTGCCCAGATAGCACGTAAAGCAGGTACAATTTCCAGAAATTCTTCTTCTAACCAAAGTGGTTGACCAAGTCGGGCACGTTCACGACGTGTCATTCGAGTATCTTTCAAATGTAATTCAATGTCTCTAGCAGCTTGAGCAGCAACAGAATCATCTCCACCAGCCCATGGGATATTCAAACTTTCTCTTGCCTTAATAAAACACAAAAAATGAAAGTAAAAGAAATAATAAATGTATTAAGTAATTTTCAATTATTGGTTTCGTAGGAATTGTGTTTGATTGGTTGGAAGGTTTCATCATGAGCTGACATCAGTTGGAGAACTATTGGAAAACATGCAGGGAGTAGTGGACAGCTGTTCCGTCCTAGCTTGGGACTCTTCAGAAGTACACACTCACCGTAGGGGTTAGAGCCCAGGACATTCTGGTTACAAGGTGAGCTAGCTCGTAGACCATTAAGCCACTGGGACCCGAATCCAATAGCCCATGAATTCTAACTTCTGCCAATTCATGACATGGCTTGACCACTTCGAAATGTCTTCTTCAATGAGTCACTGCCTCACCTTCAAATGAATGACAGAAAGCTTATTCTTTTGAAATACATAAGCATGATTTGGGGAGTTTTTGTTCTATAGTAATACTTAGTCACCTTCTACACGTCATTCTTAAGCCAATTTGAACAGCACTCAAATGCAGTGAAAAATTATTTGAATTCATTTCTCATGCATATGCGTTTCACAATTCCAGTACAATCAATAATTTTCATAAAGGCTTCAAAGTCAGTATTGTCAAAAGGATGATAATGCGTAGACAATTAACAGTCTATAGTTAGAATGAACGTTAATTAGTGTTCCATGGGCGTCAAGATCACATAATGTTTTACCATCATATTATGACCACGTATAAGTGTTCCAGTCGAATATATATATATATATATATATTTCAATGAAAACAAAAAGATTATCAATCACTGTGAAGCTAAATATGTTAAAGATTACCGAATTCCGCCACAGAACACTTCAGAATATAATAATGATAAGTGACAAAAGTAACCAACAGAGAAAAAGAACGATAGAACACAGTAAGTAAAGGATGTACATTACTGACATCGATGCGAGATCACATAATATGTAACTAGCGCTCATCAGTTGCTACAAATTAACACTTCGTTTTGCCACTTCAAATCATTAGTCACAGATCATCAATCAATGTTATACCTCTGTTTGAAAGTCTCCATACCTCTTTGAGGGTAGGCGTTTTGTTTTGTTGACCACCAGTTTATCTACGTTTAAATCGAAGGTGATTTCGAAGCAGTGACTCTAGTTTTTAGTACAACGTGACATGCTGAATACATCAACCTGATTAATAACGTTTTAATAAATACCTTTAAAAAAATTAAGTGTGTTTACATGTCTATTAAACAAATCCCTTCAAGTCTGAGAAGTTCTCCAACCATTGAAGCTTATACCTTTTACAGAAGTATGTTGAGTCAGATGACAATAAAGGAAAGGTAACACCGTTGATTAGACAGTATGACAATAAAAAGTTGTTGCAATTTTCAATACAGGTAACTTTTGGTCTTTAAAATTTGCTAAAACAATTAGTTTAAAGTGATCATGTAGTCGGTGTGTAAACTTTAGTCATAGGTTTAAATCCTGTAAATGGATAATATGACATACTTTTACACATTAGGCGTGATTCACATTCTGGTAGATAATAAGGGTAAGAGGCTTATATTAATTCTTGCTACTAGTAATAATAATAATAATAATACAATAATAATAATAATAATAATACAATGAGTAATCCAACTAAATCTTTTATTCTTTTGTTTATAAATTTATACATCCCTCGCTACTTAGGATGATTGGACATAAAACCTAATTCTTCGAAATTCAGAGCTGCGATATAACTACCGCTTTTTCAACCTGTCCAACTTCTTATTGGGTATTGTGATTTTCTGTACAGTTAGTTTGGTTTCCCGGATTGGTGAATCGATTAAACTGTTATTAGTATATCGACTAATTGTATATAGTTGTAATTCTACCGAAAAAGAAACATTGATTTAAAAAGCATTCTTGATCTATAATGAACACTAATTTCTAGACAATTGACAAGATTTCTGAAATAACAAGACAGCTAGGTATTATTATTACTCTGCCTTAAGAATACTTTAAAAAAATCTTAATAATTATAAACTTTATTTCTGGAGTATTCAAAATCATGCAAAAATCAAAACAGCTGTCACTGGCAAACTCTATATTCTACCAAAAAGTGTCTAAATTTCACTCTTGCATTTTTAATGTAACAAACAGTTTGTGATTCCATTTTGATTCCATCCAATGGTTGGCTACATTAGACTAAGCTTTGTGCAGATGAGTGCTATTATTAGCTATTCCCGAGCTTATTAGGTGTGATTTATTGCCTAATGCGTGAATATGCAAATTGTTTATACGATAAATAGAATACTGATATCACATGCATAATTTTTACTCAAGACTGGAAATATATTGTTAGTTGTTCAAGCCTAAGACTCATAGTAAAATATGAGAAAAATGCCAACAATCATTTCTCACTTTCCAAACAACTTACTTGAGTAAGCAATATGCAAGCTGTCGAAAACCGTTAAGATTCATAATCAACACATACAGGAAAGGAGTTCATAGACATTAAGGGTATTACTAATTCGAATTCAGCAAAAGTTAGTTAAAGTACTATTTAAAAAAATTTATTTAGTGGAAATATCTATAAAATTTAACGATAGAAATAGTTAATCAGAATAACACCGCCAAATATCTCACAATAAATGAAAAAAAAGTAAAACAGTCATCATATAACCGTATTACTTTAACACTAAGGATAATAATTAAGCGTTAATGACAGAGAATAGTTTCATAATAAGCTGATTTCTTCAAAACAGGATACAGTGATACAGAATTACTTGCTGGTGAGCACAATTTACTACGCATAATTTCATCAAGATGACATCTATGTATGTATGGTCATTTTTTTAAAACTATTTTGCCTGATTCCTCACGCTGAAATAACCAAAGATAACACAAAAAGCGTTAAATCCTCTAAGAGAAATCCTTATAGTAAGTGTACATGCACCACGTTTTATAGACAGAAATATACAGCCAAAACGAATGAAATGTGATTTAATGTTTGTATCCAAGGGAATGCTACATATGAACCCTGAATTCAAAGGTGACCTAGCTGCCAACAGTTTTAAAAAATCTCTCAGTCAGCAAACATATTACATACAGAAATGAAATCCGTCAAACAAAAGACTTGGTGTTCCTGTTTCTGTCAACTGTTCTTAATAGCTACCTAAAATTTAAAAATTCAAAAAAGAAATATCACCGACTTCTGACTGAATGAGTTCCTACGATATTCTGTTAAGCTTGCAGAATGGAATGCAAATGCTGAAATTCTGAGAAGTTGTATAAAGAATGCAGAATACAACACCATAATCATGTTTAACCTGATGGTCGAACTCTCGAACGCCCTACTCTGAATTTGATCGATGCCATCTAAACACATCTTCCAGCACTTGAAGGAGAAAAACCGAATTCCAAATCTAACTTTTTACATGTCATGCTGTGTAGCATAAAACAGAAGAAAGGATGGCACATCAAAAAGGTCGGTCTACCAAAATCCAACCTTTACAGGGCAGTGAACTAACTTAAACAGTTAGATACTCCTAGGTGGAAAGAGAAATCTTATCCATTCTCTATGTCCCAGAATTTTAAAAATATGCTCTAAAGATACGGCCGTACAATACTCTAAAACAATGGATACCCTAAAGTTTTATTGAAAGACATACGAAAAAAGAAATCGCTCCTAACGAAATTATATGGCCAAAAAGGCATTAAAAGTCGTTCACCCAAGTGCTTGAAACACTGTTTTTATGCCACTAACTTATTCTAGGCGAAGCATGATTAGACAATGAGTGAAGGACAAACTGTAGCTTATGTCCATCTCTACTTGCATCTACTCTTTCACATGCTGTTGTGGAACCGATTACATCAGATGCAGTAAGCAGGTTCTCAGGAAATGCATAGCTGAACACTACTCGGTTTGTTTGATACGAGGCAAGCAAAGGACGAAGAAATCTTCCATCTGTGAACACTTTCTTGAGTCAGATCATTCAGCCCCATGCTATTCATCCTTTAGAGTTATCTACAAGGCTAAATCTAGTCACTCTAAACATTTACGTTTTTGCCACTTATGTTCAGCCGAAGTTCTACAGAAGTAGCTAGCGGAAATTCCGGAGCCTGTTAGAAAAATGATGGTGATACACTCCTTAAAGGATACCAATACATGAAACAAACGTAACTGGCACGGTAACAGCTTCATTAGATGTCGTCTCTTTGTTCCCCAACGTTCTCTGACGGAAACGCTATGCTATTTATGTAAACTTATTGATTCAAGTAATTTAAACGTTGGAATACTTACTAAATATATTCAGGAACTGATACCAAGATGCACTGTAAATGTCCAACTCCTATTTAATAGTGAAATATATCAACAGAAAGATGCAGTAGCTATGACGTCTTCGCTTAGTCTACTACTTGTCGACTGTTTAACGACACACCTATAATCGAGTATTCTACACCCAGCTATATACCAATTAAAAGTCTATAAGAGACATACGGATGACGCCCTTAACATTGTCAGAGAAGATGTCGATCTAAATAAAGAGAAAAGAACAAGAAGTTCAGCAAAGATATCCTTTCGGTAACTTCATTCTCAAAAATTATACAATTGCATCCATGTATATATAAGTTTACATGGATACAATTATTATTTAATTCCACATAAGAACGAAGGAGATTGAAGGTGATAATAATTTTCAACTTGATATGAAATTTCGGTGTGGCTGAGAAACAAAATTACACAAGATTAGGAAATTGTTGCGTTATATGTAAAATCAGAAGCACCATAACTGAACACCTCGTCAACACCCGTCACAGAATCACATCTAACTTATCATCCAGAGTCACTTACAAAGTAAACAGAAATCTATCAAAGGTAGTGTGTTTCCGACTTCTTTGTACCGCAGAAGTAGTCGCCATACGCATCAAAAAGGTAGAGCTATGTATTCAAAAGAAGATAGTTCAACCCCTACAGTTACCATGGCTCTATTTAGATTTAACACCTTAGTTCTAGTTTTTTGATTGTTTCAGTCCCTTCAATTTTTTATTTCAGTTATAAGAAAACTATTATTTCAATTTGTTTATCATAATGTTTCCATGTTTATTCTGTTCTCTTTTATATTCATGAAAAAAACTATTTTCTAATCTTGTGCAACTTTGTTTCTAAGCCCCTTGTAGTCTATATTCACATCGAAATTTCATATCAAGTTGTAAATTATTATCATTTTCATTCTCCATTATTATGTGGAACTAAATAATAGTTGTATACATGTAAACTTATATACACATGGTTGCGATTGTATAGCTTTAGAGAATGAAGTCACCGAAAAGCTATCTTTGCTAACCTTCTTCTGAGCTGTATAATGTCCTGATGGCCATTTTCCACGATCTAAATAAAATCATTGAAGTATTTAGTAATACTAATACATCAAATAGTTTTACTTTAGAGGCTGAGTCAATCGGGGGACCCCTCTTCTGAGATGTTCAACTTTAGAGGAGAACTAGTGGATTAGTCATAAGATCGGTTTACCACAAATCGAAATGGAGCAGACAGTTGACTAACTTATACAGCACTGCTCCATCAGCTAGAAAAAGCAGCCTCATCAAATCTCTTCTCTGAAGAAAAAGTTGCACTATCACAAAAAATACGTTAAATAGAGAACTGAAATCTTTCCGAAACAGTTTGATTCAAAATGGTTATCCACCAGCAATCATCAACAAACATGTGAAAAGTAATACTGATAATCCGTCAAGGACAGAAGTACCAGAGAAAGTTAGTTGAAAATCTGGAATTCAAACGTGACACAACAGCTGAAATCATACGAAGCAGATAGTCGCGAGTAATTTGGGAAACGTTTTTCACTTTATCTTCTTCACTCAACTCTTTATACATCAAAATATCAAAGATAATGTTGCATTCAAGTGTTGGTTGGCCGGGATTTGCTTTGACTGGTTACAGGATTTTATCGTGAGCTAACATCAGTTAGAGAAAACCTGAGAGTACTGAACATTTGCTTCGTCCTACTTTGGGACTCTTCATCGGTACTCCCCATTGAGGTTTGAACTCAGGACCTCCTGGTTCCAAGATAAGCCCGCAGACCACTAAGCCACTGGGACACGATCCAATGGGCCTATGAGTTCCAACTTCTGCCAATCCACGATATCGCGCGACGACTAGTCAATGTCATCGGTGCTCCAGTGGCTTAATGGTCTAAGAGCTTGTCTTGAAACCGGAAGGTCCTGGATTTGAACTCCAATGGGTGCGCACTGTTGAAGAGTCCCAAAGTTGAACGAGACGGTTGTCCAGTACTCTCAGGTTTTCCAATGGTTTCCTAACCGGTGTCAGTTCATGATGAAATCCTGTAAACAGTGTTGCATTGTTGACAACACTCATGTGTATTTATCAATTCGCTTGCCCCTGTCAACCTATGCGCATAGGCTATATCAGCAGGATATTGTCTAGACGTGCACAACAACGTTTCCCAACATAGTTGTCGAAAGGAGGAATCTAACCACTTCTTGAGCACCTTATTCTTACAAATCATTTTGTATCGACAGAAAGATCTTTTGAACTGATATATATATATATATATATATATATATATATATATATATATATGATTGTACAACATGGGAATGAGCATTTGAAAAGAGTTACTCATCACTGAGTACCTTCCGTGTTGGCTGATTAACATAAGTTACTTTTGTCAAGATTGGTTGTGGTAGCTAAGAATAACTAACAAAAATAAACCAACAGAATTCGAAAACATAAATACACTAACCTGCAGTAAGAATAATACACCTTTGTAAATGTTGTCATAAATGACATCCTTTAACTGTTCAATCTCTTGATTTGTGAAGTGTTTCCCATTGATAATTTTCATTTGTTTCAAAAAAGTACTTTTCCCGCTTTCGCCAGTCCCTAATAACAGGATCATTTGTTTTCGACGAAGACGATTTTTTTCCCTTTTTAATTCTCTTTCTATTTCCTTGTTACGTTTTCTTTGCCACTTTACAACCTCTTCATTTTCAACCGCCTCTTTCGGGTATGCACAACAGCTCAGTAAAGACAAAGTCTCTGACATTTCCTACTAAAAGAAGCCATCAAAATATTTAAATTCTTAAAAAATGAAGTTGTAAAGTGAACAAAACTTAAGTTAATATGGATCGTACATGTGACGAGTTATATTCGAAAAGTTGAATTAAACTTTGAAGTCAGAAAAATAATGCCGGTGTTACTCATGAAAAACAATTTTACCCATGCATACTGCTTTATAATAATCCTTAAGAACCAATAATATACCAAATAACGCTCAGATATTTTGAATTTTAAATTACTATAATAATATAGTGGTTACAAAGTAGCATTTCGTGTTTAAAATTTGCAGCATATTTGTTGCAATATATTTTAAATTTGTCTATATTCGCATACAAAAATGATGGCTGAAGACAATTTACAATGGTGCAGGCGTATCCACTCTTTGTCGCCGATATTCTAATATCTTCAACAATTTTTCTTAAATTCATATTTGCCATCAGTAGTAACAACAACCATCTTATAGGGGGTTTTCTAAGTATGGCAACTTGGACTTATGCACTTCTGTACAAAGTTCCACGTTGGCTTGTTCGTTTGTATTCAAACAGTAACTGACAGCGGCATTTTATCTTATCCCACGTAATACCTCTGATTCTTTACTATCCTGAGAAGGAATTCAGGAAAACTGAGTCAGGGATACCACTCTCTATAGGAAGAATAATATTCTGTAAAAGTAACGCTTCCTTTTGTGTCCATTGTTTTTAAGCCATGTTAACTCACCTTTTATTCCACTTATTTTACGAAGTGCATCCAAAAAGTATCAATTGCTTACTTACTCGATATAATTTTCAGTCTACAGTAAAATTCCATACATTTAGGTAATTTTACAAAATCCCACCAGAATTAAGTGCTATTTGATATAGTGGATACAGACGGATTCATTGTAGTACGCTGAAAGCACATTAAACAAGGAAAATGGCCTATCTCATAAGAAATAAATCTACTGAAAAGGAACAATGACATGTAGCAAAAGTTAAGTGACTTCAAACGAATATGCAACAAATATTAACAAACAGATTTTTAGAGTTACTAGTTTGATGAAGACTAGTGTTGAGGTAATAACAAACACCAACGGATCAAAGTACATAAATACGAAAGATGAATGAAATGGTACAAGCAAACAATGAAGAACAATTCAAATTATCCCCAGTTACCTGAGACACTAACCATTTAATTTATAACTTTGCACAAAAGTGTAGCAGTTCAATTTGCCACATCCCATATAGCAAACAGAGGTAGAGAAAAATCCAAAACAGCTGTTATGAACAGACGTTTACAGAAGAAATAACTACATCAAGAATAATTGAGAGGATTTAACGAATTTGAGAGTTTGTAAAGAGTGAATTCATCTGTGATGCTGTGAAAACTTTTGAGCCATATCATCAACAATCAACCCACGGGAATCTGTTCCTAGAGTCTTGAGGATCCCAGCTACGAAGTATGCATCCCCCTACACAGCCCACACTTACTTGTGGGGAGTACACATAGGTCCTGCAACTATAGCTGCTGTTGCAAAAGACGTCATTAATTTGAAATTAAACAAAGCAGAGTAGCCTGACGAAATGATTCCAGAGAGGTACAAGGACGATGGTGGTGAATTATTTATTATCTCTATCCACCAACCATTTTTTGAACGACCTTGACAAGTTTGCTTACTTGCTTCCTGGATTTTGTCACTCATTTATTTCATCTTTATTTTTCTTACATTGGTGTTTTGTTATTTTCAGTGTAGCGCATCTCTTGGTGTCCATATTATATCAAGTGACTTAATAAATTATACGTAAACTCTCTGGTTTGACTAAAATATTAGTTCATGTCTGGGAATCCGAGATAGTCCCGTCGTACTGGTGTAAATCATTTATTATCCCAATTGATAAAAACGACATCTTCCAGGGGTAACTGTAGGGGGATGAGCTTGACTAACACAATCTGAAGTTCTAGATTCAATAATCATGCGTAGACTGAGCATTACTCGGGAGATACACACCTGGGAAATACATAGGCTTTTTGTCAACGAGAGAGTTTATTAACAATATCTTCACCTTTTGAGAGATTCTGGAACATAAGAATAGTTATCACCACGCCATATTTGTTGACCTGAAAGCGGTACCTGACTCCGTCAACTCAGAGTGCTGTGGCAATGTGTGTTTACGAAGGGAGTTCTGAGAAAGTATAGCGGACAGTATGACCGCATACTACGCCTGCACCAAAGATGGTGCAATTTGGCCAACAACAAAAAAGCATTTTGTGTCAGTGCTGACCATATACTGAATACAAACACACCTAAATGTGGTCAGGTGCCTTTGCCTAGAGATGTTATATAACATGGAGTTTAGAATGAACTGATTATAATTTTACTATCAGATCACTAAAGTAGAATGTGCACAATCTGAAGTATGCAGTGAATAAATAGACAAACAACTAATCATTTAACACACATTTATCGCAGTCACATAACAGTTCGACAATGTAACTTCCCTTATTATATTGTCATCGTTCATGTGGTTTTTTCTCCCCATTACAATAATTTAAGAAATCCTATATTAAACTTCAGCGTATGAACTAATGAGACAAATTATTTTTATTATTGTAAAAAAATAAAAACCAAAATATTCATCTTTTAATTACTTAGGTTTGCTAAATTAATGTGTCCTCTAATGGAAATATGTGATATAACATTGATTGTTGGTGACAACGAAAGTATTAGTCACTACTAATTTGTATTACAACGTAACGGCCCAAAACAAGATTCTCAAGTGAGCTAAATGCGACACCTGCTTTATGAGGTTTTATGATTTTATCTGATTGATTAAGCGGGAGTGAGTATAGTAGGTTCGAGCAAGAGAGCCACTAAATTAAGAAGTTTCTGTTAGTTCAGAACAGTATTACTGCTGGTCAACAAAAATTTACTGGCCAACACCCCCATTGAAGACAACAGTAAATCGTGGGCGCTGTCCGAAATAGACATCGGGAGCACTGCATTCTAACCACTCTGAAAGCACATAAAGCAGCCTATATAGTTTTATTTTGCATTTTGTGCCCAGACATGTCAAAGCGTTCTCGGATAAATTCCAAGCAAGTAGAAGAAAAATAAGTACACAAATATGTATATATATATTTTCCCTACTCAACTGTCTTTTTAATTTAAGCGGGTATTATATATATATATATATATATATATATATATATATATATATTCACGAATACGTATATAATAATAATAAAAGTTACTGTTAATTCAGTAGTTGTGTCCACGGAGAGAACTGCATAAAACGATGATTTTCACTGATAACCAGCAACCACTTAACAAGGACATAATTCATTAAAATTTTTCAAAAAAATGAATAGTGAACAAAGAGTACTCTTTTCGATAACTTTATCATCAGGCTCTACAGTTATATATATATATATATATATTATAGTGAATGAATGAATTAGTGTTATGAAAAACATTAATGTTTAACTAACATGCTCCAAACAGCAGAGGCTATTGCAATTCGCCTCAAATAACCAGTGCTCTGTGTTCAAAAGAAGCAAGTCCAGCCCCTACTATTGCCCTGGCCTACAGTAGAGAATATAAATTCATGAATTTGTAATATTACCTTTCCTAATTTTTCTGACATTCAGCTTATTTTTATGTTGATGCTATTGAGCTGTAATCTATCAATATTATTGATTCGATGTTAGTTAAACATTAATGTTTTTCATAACACTAATTCATTCATTCACTATAATGTATGTATAACTGTAAGGACATAATTATTCTTAAGAATACACAGTTTACATAAACTCTTCAAACAGTGTTAATATATGATGAAATTCAAAACAGGTATATTTTTTCCATAGTAATCAACATGGATATGAAATTAGCCCACGCTCACAATAATTCTAAACTAATTCTAACCCATGGGTCCATTATGCCTTCTCATGGTAAATGAATATTTTATCTATCTAAAATGAACCCATAATGCACAAAAATATCGCTGGTCATTTTTAAAAAGAGCACTGGGCCTTAAAATAGGATTTGCGGCTGAAATAATTCATTTAGTGCTGAAATAAAGCTGAAAAAATTGCCATTATCCGCTGAATTAAGCCATCCGGTTCTGAAGTAATGCTACTCGGTGCTAAATCTGAGCTAAGAAAGCTGAAACAACGCTGATCAGTAAACCCAGTAGGTTCTGAGCTACTTCTTAAAATGCCTAGGAAAAGCACAGGGTACTAAATCAGTAACCTCTTTTATTTAACTAGCTCGCTAGTTTTCTAACCGCTCTCAAGCCCGGGTAAAGAGGGAGGATTGGGCGTCGGGCTAGCAACCCTACACCAATAAATCTTTCAAACCGCTAGAGAAACTTCGACACAGAAAATATATTAAAAATACAAAGACTTCAAATAACAACAATCTTATTCTTTGCTCAAATCGGAGAGGTGAAATGACACAGCAGACTGATGAAAGCAAGAGTAAGAATGGGTACGTGGAATGTCCGTACAATGTACGAGGCTGGCTGGGAAGGCAGCCAATGAGGTGCGAAGAAATGACTTAGAAGTATTGGGTATCTACGAAAGCAGATGAAATGGATGTGGATTGACAACATTGTCAACTAGAGTCAATGATCTACTATGTTCACCCAGACGACAACCACCAGCACACTGAGGCAGTGAGTGGCTATTACGATGCCATCGGTGACAGCCATAGTCCTATTGAAATGGGAACCAATTTCCTCATCCAGGATCATGACAGCAAGATCCAACTCAAAAGGCAGGAAGGAAGGCTGCAATTATCCAATGCTACGCACCTAAAAACAACGCGGAACAAGAAGAGAAGGAGGATTTTTACAGACAACTGCAAACAGTAATGGACAACATCCCAAATGGAGACATCAAAATCCTCATGAGAGTTATGAATGAGAAACTGGGGTGTGATAATACAGGAAGAGAACTCATCATGGGTCAAGAGGCTATCGCTCGGCAAAATAAATAAGAGCAGAGAATTATTCTCAGACTTCTGCGCTTTCAATGATTTGGTGATTGGAGAGGGCGTGTACAAGCACAAGGATATACACAAGGCCAACGACATGGATTTCACCTGACGGACACACCACAAACCAGATAAATTTCATCTCAATGCTGCTCAAGGAAGTGGAGACCCAGCCTGCTGGACACAAAGTCTAGGAAGGGAACAGATGCGGGCTCAGACCATCATCTAGTTCAAGGAACCTTCAAGGTGAAACTGAAATCCATGAAAACAACTGGAGACAGACCACAACTCAAGTTCAATATTCAGAAACTGAAGGGATGCCTTCGCAACAGATCAGATCAGAGCAAAGTCGAACACACTAAGTGGCTTCACTGAGGAAACCTGTGTGGAAGAGCATTTGAACTCTCTGGAAGCGATATTTAAGGAAACGTGTACAACTGTTCTAGGAAGAAGGAAGAATCAAGACAAGGAATGGCTGTCAACGGATACCTGGAAGCTAACAGAAGAGAGGAGGATGGTGAAAGAGGAGATGGAATGACTCGATGCAAAGATGGACAATAGAAGGAGAAGCTGAGTTCACAGCGATGTACACTGCACTGAATCAAGAAAGACGTGAAGAAGAGTGCTAGAAAAGACAAAGGGAAATTCTACGACACACTGGCAAGTGAAGCAGAACAGGCGGGCTGCAGGTAAAAGAGACCGCAGAACATATCAGATAAACCAGGTCTCTATTCGAGAAGACATCAACCCAGATGATGAAACCTACAAAAGATGCTCAAGGGAACCTGATCACCAAGGAGGAGAAACAAATCAAACAATGAGCTGATCACTTTAAAGGACTCTTGAATCGACTGCCACCGGTAACTCGCCCGGAAATACCACCAACAGCACACACGGAAATGTCTGATAGTGGACACCAATCCTCAAAAGAAAGCAGAAATCCTGAATGTTATCAAGCTACTGAAGTCCGGGAAGGCAGCAGGACCAGACAGCATCCCTCCTGAAGCACTGAAGACGGCCCCAGAGATTATGGCAGATGTTCTCACTCCATTACTGCAAAAAGTTTGGAAAGAAGGAAAGGTACCTACTGATTGCAGGAAGGGCTACCTCGTAAAACTGCCAAAGAAGGGCGACTTGGGTCTGTGTGATCTTGTCCACGCCAAGTAAAATACTAAGGCGCATCATCCTGGAGAGAATAAAGGATGCACTGGATGCAGAACTCCGCCCCACCGACCAGAACAAGCTAGCAAGATTCAGGAAAGGCAAACCATATGCTCATCAAACTGCAACTCTACGCATAGTCATCGAACAAAGTATAGAGTGGCAGTCAAGCCTCCATCCCAACTTCATCGACTTCAAAAAGGCCTTCAACAGCGTTGACCGAGACGTGATTTGGAAACGACTTATACACTATGGCGTACGTCAAGTCTTTGTCAATCTCATTCAACAACTAAATGACAATACCACGTGACAGGTGACCCACAACGGGGAACTTAGCGAGGCGTTTGAAGGGAATACAGAAGTAAGACAAGCTGGCTGCTCATTATCACCGATGATATTCTTAATTGTAGTGGACTGGATTATACGTCAGACTATGCTTGGTGGTGATAAGGCAGGGATACGCTGGACCACCGATAAGAAGACTCTAGAAGATCTGGATTTCGCAGACGATATATGTCTTATGTATCACAAACTCGAAGACTTGCAAGCGAAAGACAGAAAACTGGCTGAGAGGCTGGCAGCGAAGACAGGACTCCAGGTGAACATAGAGAAAATGGATGTGATGAAGACAACCAACGAACCGCAACAACAGCAGCCGGCACCAATCACCATCAAAGGTAGAGATTTAGCAGAGGTGGCCCCTTTCACTTATCTAGGAAGCACCGTTTCAATTACAGGCGGAACGGATGAAGATGTTAAAGTCAGAATCGGAAAGGCAAGATATAACTTCATCAACCTGCAAACAGTTTGGAAATCTTCTGCACTTCACCTCAGCATAAGGAACAAGATTCGCACTTTCAACATCAATGTGAAGTCGGTCAGTAATTCTATACGGGTCAGAAACTTGCATTGCGTGTATCAGAAAGGATTTCCAACAGCTTGTTGCAGACTTTCATCAACAGCTGCCTTCGTTGGCTCCACAGTGAAAATCAAATGGCCAAAAAGAATAACCAACAAGAAACTATGGGAACAAACCAGCCAAGAGCTAATCGCTCAACAAATATGTGGGAGAAAGTGGAGATGGACCGGGCATACATTGAGCAGGCCACCGAATGACATCGCACACTAGGCCATTGCTCGAATGGAATCCCGATGGGAAGCGACGAGTGGGTCGTCCTAGGATGACATGAAGGAGATCGTGTAAGGGAGAGATGAGAGTTTGGTCAATCGTGGACCCAGATGAAGAGGATGACAGAAAACAGAACAAAGTGGAGATGTGTTGTTAAAGCCCCAGGTTCCACTCGGAACCCAAGGGAATAATAATAAATATAATAAACTAAATTAATCTAGTTAATTAGTGCCAATGATGCTAAAAACCAGTAATAGGTCCTAGGCTGTGCACATAATCAAACGACTTCCGAATTTACTGATTATATAATATTAAAGTTACTTCAGTATTAGCAAAATTTAGATCGACAATATAGTAAGATTGGGAGATAAATTAATCTCCAATGAATAATTGAAATAGCCAAGTTCGGGCAACAAACCACTATTTTATCAATATCAAAACACAACGGAAAAATATTACAGCAAAAGCAGCTAAAGGATGTCAGTTAAAAGCACTTGAATTTTTAAACTTAAAGTTACATGAAAAATGTCCAGTTTTACAACAAAATTTACCCAAAAAACATGAAATTACTGACCAAATTTATAAATCAGGCACGAATATCACACGCAATAATAGTAGGAACTCAAACGTCGTAGTAACTTACAAAATTAATCATAACACACCGAGTAACTTCCCATCTGATTTGTGCGCCTGTAATTTGCATTACTGAGTAATCAATATTTGGCATCCCAGATAATCCAACATAACATTCAGTCAGCTACATACTCTGATGACACTCATAACCTTCCCTTGTCTTCCTTTCAAACATCTTATTTTTATTTCATGCCAGCAAACTTATTAGCTAATTGGTCATTTTCATTAGAGGTTACAATCACTGCAGTGAATATTAAGAATCAGAACCACAGTTAAATCACACTCCTACGTTATTTTCTGCAGTCAGTCTGATAAAAAGTTCTAATAAAAATTTTAATTCTGTTTTTGCTCATGTAACAGAATGTCCTAAAAAATTTTATGATTTCGATAAAAAGTTATTTTAATACCAGTGTCGCCAGATAGATTATGCCTGTTTTTGGGTGAGGTTTGTTGTGTCTTCCAATGCTAGCCAATATCCAAACTAGCGTATTTTATGGTATCGGGTGCAGGAATTAGTTGAGATGTGGCACTTATTTAACTCATGCTTTCGGAAATGTGGCACTAGTTTACTGAGTAATCTTCTATTTTGTAATTCACACGTCTTAGCGTAGCTCAGTCTGTAGACTTTTTAGGGGCTCAATTATTCTGCTGCCATATGCGTAATGCAAGACCGTGGAAAAAGATGACGAGAAACCACGGAGTGAATAAAAGCGATATTATCTTTGTTGTCAGATTCACCGTTAACTAGAGTCTCTCCAGGACGGCATTTCCCGAAATCCCGCAAACCAATGCGACATGAAGCAGTAATTCATCAAGTTAATTTGGTAAATTATAAGGATTCGATGTGAGCGAATCCTCTTTTGGTGATTTCCAAGCTTCGCGAATTCGCTTCCGACGTCTGTCCCTTGCGTGACTAAGCCTTTAAATTCACTTGCTCACCAGTGTACCAGGAAATTTTAAATTCACCTAAAGTTCGATTTCCTTCTTGATGCCTGACTAAAATGGAGGTAATTAACAGTCAAAAGCTGGGACTTTTATTTTTTTACGAATCCGAAAATAAGAGTGATTTTCATCTGTGAATTTTCTGACCGTGTAAACAACCAGAAATATGGCCGAGAGCTATGTGTGTTTCCACAAACAGTGTTCCTTTGATACCGCTGAGATTCAGTAAAATTCCAGCCTTCTTTTTGGAAACCGTTTTTCAGTTTCAGTCTGTTTTGAGGACACCTGTGTGTTCAGGTTTTGTACTTCAGTAAACTTGTGAATGTGCTAGCTTAAGTTAATATCCGGTGTGACTTGTGACGTACTATGTCTGCTGAGTTTATTATTTAAACTCCTCACTTTAATTCTGCAGAGAACTGGATTTGTCCCGTCATTCCTGCTTTGTCAAGCTTTCCACTAGGTGAGCGACGCTGTATTTTATGTATTGTGAGGAGACCTATAGGTAACTCCTACGCTACCAAGTGGTCGGTTTATTCTGTTGCATTATTGATACGTTTTATTATTTTTTACCGTAGACCTGCTCGCCTCTGTGATCTCTTAGCAAATGTTTGAAAACTGGAGTCAAAAAACTTTATACTTTCGATACCCATTGCACTCTGGGCTCTACACAAAATTCTACGTGCAATTAGGATGAGGGGAAGGTGTAAGTGTACCAGATTCAAATGCTCTGGCACTGCTGCCAGATAACTAATAGACGCAACTCAGAACACTTTGAACTGCAAAAACTACAGAATATCAGAAAACGAGCTGGAAATCCCAGAATTGTTTATCCTTCCAAGGACAAAAAAGCACCACTATAAGACAATTATATCACAAATAGTTACAGCTTTTGTTAGCTGCGGTTTAGTATGTTGCGAATTCCAAAGTTTATAAACAAAGGTTAGTATAATTCATAGTATTACTTCTAATCATATTGCTCAAGTCTTCTGCTGAACAGCAAGCAAACACACCACAGTAGGGATTTTAACCTCCAGCGGAAACGAAAATAGATGGATTACGCCAGATGACTGGACATTCACTTAATATTGACAACATTGATAGAAGATAATCAGAGTTGAGATTAATGTGACCTTATATCAAATCACAGATCTGACTTGTTTAGCAGTTTTGTCAGTAGTTCATGAGACTTTCAATTTTTTTCATGAATGAAGAATAACTGACAACCAGTTGTTGACTTAATTGTATTGGAAAAAACCCAGTTATGCTGACTTATTTTAGCTGATAGGATCTTACATGTTATGTTTTTGGTCACAAGGACAATTTCTTTACCACTTATTGCAATGGAAAATCAAGCGAAAGAAGCGTATTAGATTTAGTGATAAGAAACTTAGACATGTCACAGAGCACCTCTCACCGTTGTTTGTGCAACATAAGTGGGAATCATCCAAAGCTGTATCCCTTCATATTAGTTATGACGGCCAACAAGCGAACAAGGACATGAGCACTTAGAGTGGTTTAACGCGTCTCATATAATCATTCTGATAGTCTTTTTGTTTGTCTGCTTTAGTAGTAATCGATATTTCGTATAAACAGTTAAGTTTACATTAAATGTGCGCCATTTTTACAGGCTTGACAAAACATGATATAAATTACAATAGGAAAATATCAGCAAATTATTGCTGTTTCTGTGGTTGAGTTATGATGCAAGCAATCACAATTGGTTATATATAAGTATTAAATTACACATATGTCATCGAAGTCGTCCTAAAGGTTGAGCGGCAACACAAACTCCATTTCCTTTACTCAGGGTAGTTTTTGTTAACCAGTGAACAATCATTATTTAGATGAATGCTATTTCTTCTCCTGATTCACAGCTATTTTAGTGAGAATTGAAAGGTCAAAGAAACTGTGTATTGGAATAAAACACAGGTAGATACAATATATTATTAAAAATACAATTAGGGAGGAAAAATATAAAAGAGCAATTTTGTCCTTTGAATTGTAACGTGAGTTTGCAATGTATTATGCTAATCGAGTTGGCCTAAATGTCGAAACCAGGTTGATTTCAATAAAAATATAGCTTTCTTCCAACAGGTTGGTTTTTGATGATATTAGGTGGTTAATGGTAACCGTGTGATAATCAGGAGTAGTTTCAAAGGTCCAAAAGCGGAGAATTTGTAGGACATGCTCACGCATAATATGCCTCATTAATCTCTAAAGGATCACATGATCATATCTTGACAAGGATCTGAGGGAACTAGCAGATGCCAGGAGCAGAAGCATAATGTTACAGTTAAATCCAAGCAATTAGTGTTGTTTTTAAGATGTGGATCTACGCTCATGTTTTAATCTCGGGCCGCCAGAATGCATGTCGCTCTCTTACAGAATGAAGATGCTTACATTTATTATCAACATATCCGCCGATCAAAGTGAGCCAACTTCCCTCCCTTTTTGACGTCGGGCCCTGAGATTTTTATTGCAAGAGCTGTAGTTTCATTGGCTTTACCAATTATACTGTGGTGAGAGCTGTCTACTAGCCAAGTGGTGGACAGTAATTGAGGTCAGTGTTTATGTATCAAATATTAGTCATGTTGTGGTGAGAGATGGTTGCTGGCCAAATTGGTTGACAGTAATTGAGGTCAAAGGTCAAGGTGGACAGGCGGATACAGTTAACATATAGATGAACTGACACAGTCACAAGAGATGCAAGGTTAACTTTGTGTGAGAAACAACCAATCAACAGACTGTATTTTCTACTAACATTGACCTACAATAATGTACATAAAAATCTATAAATACGTGTTGATTTTTCGTAATAAACGATCTGTTGCCTGGCCCTTGTTTTCTGTTGTTACAATACAGCATATTGCATGTTAATAGCTTGTTTGACAAGCGATTCCCACTAAGTCTTCAGATACAAAGATACGTGAGGACACCAATGGCAGTATTATCTTATTGCGCAAATATATCACAGAGAACTGTGCGTCGGTGGCACAGTGGTTAGGACTCTCGCTGACCATGCACATGGTCCGGGGTTCGGTCTCCTGCCGACACACACCCGATATCTTTGGTTGGCCTGCAAAATTTGGGCTACCGATATCACCTGCTGAAAATTCCATACTTGTACTGAAAATACAGTGTGACATCAAGCTGCAATCAAAAAAATTAAAAAATAAAGAGTATGTGAAAACATAAGCTATAGTACTAGGGCAAATTAAGTGTTGGACAGTTGAGTACAGTTAAATGAGTTATGGCACAACTAGTGATAAAGTCAGGTAAAATGAACTTCAGGAAAACAGTCGGTCGGCTTGACTTAAATTCATGACCACTTTTGGTATGACATGCGTTAGACACTGCAAAGTACCCATTTGCTTATATGATGGAAAAACTATTGCGAACAACTTTAGGATTATACTTTTAGGATAATTATAGATAGTCTTATGGTTCTGCTATACTGTTTGGTGGGATATCGATAGGATCGAAATAAGCGAAAAGGCCGAATCTAAGGTCAAGCAATGAGGGAAAGATTGGACGAGTTTCGTCATATTTTAGATGCGTTATGATGGCTGGAGTAAATACATTTCCTCAAATTGGGGTTGTTGCACTAGGGTCTGTAATAATAAAATTGGTTTAGATAAGTACACAGAGGGACTTTTGTTGATAGGAACTCACTAGAGAGGCGTAGAAATTCAGGAGGAGATCCTCAACCACGTACAGAGTGGGAGTTTGTCCCACGATACACCATATTTATTCTGAAGAAACGTGAGTGCGGTTTTGCCCAGTGATGTGTTATGCAGAGATTATGCCCATGGTCCCGAAGAGTATAAGTGGTCGTATTGTTTAAAGCTATTGGATCACTACAGCCGTATGTAAGAGAAAGAGGAATGTCAGGTTGAGTTTCAGACGCCTTAACCAGAGTGGCCGAATCCACATTTTGTACATATCCCGGTAATTAAGGTCTCAATTTGTGTGTAGAAGGCGTGCATTAAAGCTTCTCAAGATACTACAGTACGAACCCTATCATACCTTTGCAGAATACCGATGGTGATTGTGTATCACTCGAGTGCTGGACGATCGTGATTCTGTACATACAAACAGCAGCCTCAGTTGTTTGCAGTCTTCAGTG